AGGATGGATGAATCGAGCCGTCTTCTCCGACTGCGACTGCCGGCGACGTTTCACGAAGCCGTACGGATCGCAGACAACTTCGACGCGCATCGGACGTATGCGAGAGCGGGTTCTTGGGAGGGAAATCGTTTTCGTGGCCAGAATCCACGTTCCACGATTCACGGCGTAGTGGCGAAGGAGCACATGGACGATTTTCGCAAGGGACAATGTTTCATCTGCCACCAGCCGGGTCACCAATCTCACGATTGCCCCCGAAAGAAGCAGATAAAGAAGAACGACGAGGACAGGTCGGGAAACGCCAAGCGTCAGTAGCGGTCTGGCCCCCTACTGACCCTGCCTCATGGCCCGAAAAACATCATCCCCACCGGGTAGTGGTCCCGATACATGCTATCAACCGCTCCTGACTGAATAAGGGGGATGAACCAGTGGACCACCCTGTACTGGCGGAAGGACGACTTCATGGAAGAAAAATAAAAATATTCATCGTCGGAGGTGCGAGTCACGACCTGATAAATCGAGAGACAGCACGACAACTACGCCTGGCGCTGGAGAGGTGTCTGCGATTGGTGGACGGCACCCCGCTGGCGATACGCGACAAAGTACCCGTCGTTCGAATGAAGTGCGGTGACGATTTTGGTTTCAGCGCGCCGATGTTGGCGACAACACTCGACGGCTACGATGTGCTATTGGGACGCGATTGGCTGTGGAGATTCAACCCGCAAATCGATTGGACGACAGGCGAGTGCACAGTGAAGTGCGAAAAAGGCTGGCGAAAACTACCGACGTGGCCGGAAGCAGAGACGACCTCGACACGCGTCAACGCGATGTGCCTCAAGCGAGCGGTCAAGAATGAAGCGGATTTATACGCTGTCCATCTCACAGAATCGACGGAGCCGAATGAGGCGACCGACATCAACAAACTCTACGATTCGGTCCCGGACGACTTGGCGAAAATCATTCGGGAATATCCTGAGATTTTCCCTGACGACTTGCCAAGTGGATTGCCACCCGAACGACCCCAGGACCACAAGATCGAGCTGGAGCCCAGCGCGCAACCTACTATACGAACACAATGGCGCTTGACATAACCGGAGCTACAGGAACTACGGAACCAGTTGGACTACCTGTTGGCGAAAGGGTTCATTCAGCCGAGCACTTCACCGTTCGCAGCACCGATCCTGTTCACGCCAAAAAAGGACGGCGGCCTTCGCATGTGTACGGATTATCGTGCCCTTAATCGGGTAACGATAAAATCGCGCTACCCAATTCCACGCACGGACGAACTGATCGACAACCTTCACAGAGCTCGCTACTTTTCGAAGATCGACCTTTGTGGCGGTTACCATCAAATTCGGGTGTTCACTGACGACTGCCACAAGACCGCATTTCGTACTCGCTACGGGATTTACGAATACATGGTGATGCCGTTTGGATTAACGAATGCCCCCTCGACGTTCCAACTCATCATGAACGGGGTGTTCCACGATCTACTCGACAAATGCGTCATAATTTACTTGGACGACATCCTGATCTACAGCAAGACCCGGGAGCAACATTTAAAGGATTTGGAAGCGGTTTTTCAGCGGCTGCAGTAGCATCGTCTCATCACCAAGGCCTCCAAGTGCAAGATTTTAAAACAAGAACTGGAGTTCCTAGGGCACGTGATCTCCACGAAGGGGATTCGAATAGACCCGAAAAAACTCGGGGCTATTCAGGAGTGGCAACCGCCAATAAATCTGCAGCAGCTGCAATCGTTTTTGGGTTTTGTGAATTACGTGCGGCGGTTTATACTCAATATGGCGGGGTTAACTGGACCTCTAACCGACCTCCTCCAGAACTGGACTTTTTATGAGTGGGGGGAGAAGCAGCAAGCTGCGTTCGAAGCATTAAAAACTCTTTTAATGTCGCCACCGGTACTTCGCATCGCTGACCCGGAACGGCCCTTCGAAGTCATCACCGTCGCAAGTGACATCGCCATCGGAGCAGTGCTCATGCAGGTTTTCGGCAACGGGCTTCAACCAATTGCGTATGAGTCTCGGAAAATGCAATCTGCTGAGCGCAACTACCCGGTACACGACAAGGAGATGCTGGCGATCGTCCACGCGTTCAAAATCTGGAGGTGCTATCTGACTGGAGCAGATGTGATGGTGCGAACTGATCACAAATCACTACAGTACCTGAGGGCGCAGTCGAATCTCAACCCGCGGCAGATACGCTGGCTAGACTATCTGGAGTCGAACTTCACGTGCAAGATCACGTATAAAAAGGGCGCCAACAATATTGCCGACGCCCTTTCCAGACCATCTGCCCAACTCGCAGCAGTATTAGTTGCCCAGAGCAACCCGCTACTGAGTGGACTATTTACCCACGGGTATTCGACTGACCCCTTCATCGTAAATGACGGCCATCTCCCAATCACTACACGGAAAGGCGTCTACTACTTAGGAAGCGGGACTGATCGAATTTGGGTCCCAAGTTATCGTCTACTTCGCGAATTACTAATTCAAGAAGTCCACGATTCGAACTTATCGGGACATTTCGGGGTTGATAAAACTCTGAAGGCGTTGCAGCGGTTTTATTACTGGCCAGATATGGTGACGGACGTGCAGCGTTACGTGGCCGCGTGTCCGATCTGCCAGCGAATGAAGTCATCACACCAGCGACCAACAGGACTGTTGCAGCCCCTCGAGCAACCTCAACGCCCATGGCAACACGTAACGATGGATTTTGTTACGGGACTACCGGCCGGACCCAACGGAAACGACGCGGTTTTGGTTGTCGTTGACCGATTGACGAAAATGGCGCATTTCGCACCATGTCGTACAACCATCACAGCCGAAGAAACAGCGTGCCTGTTCATCTCGACCGTTGTTCGCCTACACGGGATACCAGCAGCAATCATTAGCGATCGAGATCCGAAGTTCACGTCAAAATTCTGGCAGGACACGTGGGCTCGGTACGGCACGCGTCTACAATTCTCATCTGCTTATCATCCCCAAACGGACGGCCAGACGGAAAGGACAAATCAAACGATGGAGCAGTTGATTCGGAAAAACTGCCTCGACCGAAAAAAATGGGAGGACGTGCTGCCCATGTTGGAATTTTCCTACAACAACGCGCCCTCGGCTACGACTAATCACTCCCCGTTTTATCTCAATTACGGGATGGACCCTACAGTGCCGATCTCCACCAACGTTGAGAGTCAAGTACCGCGATCGCAGCAGTTCGTCGAAGAACTACAGACTGCCGGAGAGAAAGCTGTCGAACTTATTCGTAAGGCGAACGCAACTGCTCGAAGGTATACGGATTTACATCGCCGGGATATTACGATGACAGCAAGGCAACTAGTCCTGTTGGACACCAAGAATTTACGACTGCCACTACCGACGAAACTACGACCCCGTTTCTGTGGCCCATTCAAGATCGTGAAGATGGTGACGCCGGTAACCGCCCATTTGCGCCTACCTGATGACTGGCGTATTCACAACAAATTCCACGTGAGCCTGTAGCGACCCTTCGTTCCTGACACGTCGGACATCGCCCGTCAGCGCTTGGTCCCAGACGTACGGCCACCAGCCGAGACGACCATTGAGCCTTCGAAGATCTTGAGCCATCGGATTCGTATCGACGGTCACTGACGACACGTTGACTTTCTGATACGATGGACCAATCGTACCAATGAGGACGACACGTGGGTGCCCTCGGACCAGATACAGTCACCTTCGATACTTGCAAATTATTTGGACCGCAAGCACGTGGCTGATATAGATCACCTTCGCTAAAGGGGGGGGGTGGTGTAAGGAATTTTCCATTCCTTACCTAGCGATACTGCTAGCGCGTACGCTCGAACACACCCGAAGCCTCGGGACTGTTCCAGACCTTCTGACAGAACCGCCTCGGCTTCTCCAGACCTTTCGGTTCGACCTTCGGGAGTTCTCCAGGCCTCGCCTCTTCACTTCGATCTCCTTCCCGAACCTTCCCATCGCATGGTTAGACTAGCTCTGGTGTTCCTATATCTTGGCTTGCCATTCCTTGTATCGTTATTCATTGAGTGAACATCTCGTTATTCATTTCCGCACTACACCCAGTTATTCAATTCAAGAACACGCAATTAAAGAATTGTTTTGGTACATTCAACTTAGTTTTGGGAACCAATCCCATAGCTAGAGGTGGCGTGCGATATCAACCGACCACAGCGTCGCTAACACTCACATCGCAGAAACACGCATGTGACGAACCAGACACCATCTTTCCCGCCAATAGGCCTGGACCACATGTGACGTGGCGAGCTCATTTCTGAGGGAATCGCCGAGGACGGTGGCTTCGCTGATTGGTCAAGGGGCTCTAAGGATGAGACCCCCTTGCCGAGACCAGAAGAATGGGTGCACTTTCAACAAAGCGGCTACTTGCCCCTAAAATATATTTGTTTCAAGCTTACAGTAGAGCTTCCCAAGTTACTGGAATGAACACGCGACTGAAAATTGGGCGTACAGGCGAAATTGCGTGATGATGTCGGCTATGAAGACGGAGTGGCGCGATATTTAGTTGGTGGGGTGATTAATATGTTTCTCCTGCGAGTTCCAGGGAAACGACGAATGAGCGAAACTGGGCCAATGTGATAATAAAGCGATACAGTCACTCGGCACAAACGACAATCACACCTGTCGTTGCAAAACTTGTGACATGATCGAATATCTGGGTGTACTCTGCTTGTTAATTCATAACACTTTGGGAATCAGGGGCAATTTGAGGGAAGGCAGTGGGCAGTTCAGTGTAGTAATTGAGGGGAATGGCACGCACGAGATAGGCATTGCGATTTTTGGGCCCGGTTCGGACATCAACGAGCCTAAATCTGAAATCGCAGGCTGACGTCACTTGTCGCATAGCGACCTATCCCAGTTCGGGGGACCTTCCGTCCAAGGCCCCCAATGCCCATGCTTCCACCTACCGCCCAAAACCAGCCCCCACCGCCAGCCCATTCCTTATGTGCGGTCGAACGGCCCGAGCTTTTCTTGACTCACACTGCCCGTTTAGGAGAGAGCCGTACTCCTCTGTTTCGTCCATCGCCACTAACCAAATCATGGCGGCTGCGAGCTTCAAGTCCCTGTCGTTGGACGTGCACTCAAGTGGCGTGGCTCATCTCAGGCTGAGTAGACCGCATGCGTCCAACGCCATGGATTTAGACATGTTTAGAGAGCTCCCGATTGCAGTCGCATCTGCAGACGACGATCCTTCCGTGCGGGTCGTTATCATCTCTGGCCAGGGCAAGCACTTCTGCGCGGGAATAGATCTGCAGACGCTTTCAGACATCGCGTCGGCTCCAGGGTCCCTTCCCAGCAAGGCGGAGTGCGAGGGCCGGAAGCGCGAGGCCTTCCGCCGGCAGATCGTGGCCATGCAGGAGTCGCTGTCCGCGCTCGAGCGCTGTCGTAAGCCCATCATCGCCGCCATTCACGGCGCGTGTGTGGGCGGCGGGGTGGACCTGGCGACGGCGTGCGACGTGCGTTTCGCGAGCAGCGACGCGCGGTTCGCGGTGAAGGAGGTGGACCTGGCGATCACGGCGGACCTGGGCACGCTGCAGCGCCTGCCGCGCCTCGTCGGCTACGGCAACGCCATGCACCTTGCGCTCACGGCTCGACCCGTCGACGCGGACGAGGCGTTGCGGCTGGGGCTGGTGCAGGGCGTGTGGGCGACGCGCGAGGAGCTGATGGCGCACGTGCAGGGCGTGGCGGAGGCGATCGCGCGCAAGTCGCCGCTGGCCGTGGCGGGCACGAAGGCCGTGCTGCGGCACGCGCGCGACCACAGCGTGGCGGACGGGCTGCAGTTCGTGGCGACGTGGAATGCCGCCATGCTGCTCTCCGACGACCTCACCGCTGCTGTCGCCGCGCTGGCGACGCGCAAACAGGCGACCTTCTCGAGGCTGTAGACATGGCTGCACCTGGCCGTATTTGGAGGGGCGTTTCCTTGGATGCTCCAAGTGCAGAGGGAAGGGCTGTACCCTATTGACCAGGCCTGACTTGGTCGTGCAGAGTGGCCAAGCTGTCACGTGTACATTGTATAGATGCTGAACACCAGGCACACGAGACGTGCTATTAGGTTAGGTCACTAGATAAGAGGGTGTTTGGATTGCCGAGCAGCTGGTGCTGAAAATGCGTTTTTTATCCGTGGCACACGCAGGACAAGTTAGGGCATAATAGTAAAGCATTATGCTGTTGGAAAGGGTGGATTTAGAAAGAAAAGATACTTAATATCCTCATTGTTCATACACACTCCAATCCCTATCCGAACCTCGTTTTAACGAACTAAAGGATTCACCTGGAAACTACCAGTGGGCGAGCGCACCGCCTTGACGCCCTCGTGGCAGCATTTGCCACGTCAGGAAGGCCAATTGCGGTACGTACGATTCTTTTCCATCCATCCTTTGCCCATCGAAGCTTCTTCTCGCTCGCTTTGTACGTACGATTGCATCGCTGTCCCCATGCCCAAAGATTTCTGCTGGCGCCGAGGAACATATTCGGCGCCGCACTGTTGGCCCCATCATTCTGGCCCCTGCAACTAGCTAGCAAACAGCCCCATCCGCAAAACCCTCCGTCCTCAGCCTCCCATGGCGCTCTCTCTCCGCACAGCCCGCGTCGCCGACCTTTTCAGTGCGCGCCGTGGGCCCGCGGGCGCGAGGAGAGCGGCAGCGGCGCCATCATGGTGCGCCACTCGCCGCCGCCCGAGGCTCGTCGTGAATGCGGCACAGCGAGAGCAGCCGCAGCCAGGCCTGGTGAGTCAGTCGCGTCGGCTTTTGCGCCTTCTCGAGTAGTGGCCGCCTACGCGGCTGTAGCGCAATGGCGTGTAAATGCGTTTCGCCTGCTCGTCGCAGCGACGCACATTGTCCCCTCTCCGAGAAAATGGCGAGGGACGTGCCGTGACCCCTCTGTTTTGTGACGCCGCCGTCGACGGAGCCGGGAAACGTCGTTCCGGAACAACGGCGCAGGAACTTACTAGGTTGCATGTTCCGTTGTTGAAACGAGCAGTGCATCATGGCTGCTTACCTCCCAAGTGGGTGGTTTGGCCGGGCATTGTTGGCTCACATGCCCATTCCGGTGCCACTCAAGCCACTTACACGCTTCTCATGATCTCTCGCCCATCGCCTTTCCCCCCGGCAGGTCATGTCCCGGCGGCAGCTGGGCGTGCTCCTCGCCGCATCGTCCGCGAGTGGGCTGCAAGCGGAGGGCGCGTGGGCGAGGTCCAGGTCAGAGGGGCGCAGAGAGGCGCTGGAGCGAGTGCGTGATCAGGCGGAGGCCGAGCGAGAGGCGGAGAGGGAGGCGGAGCGAGAGGCAGCAGCACTAGCTGCTGAGGACAACGAGATTGTGGAGGCGGAGGAGGGAACCCCAGAGAACAGTGAGGCGCAAGGAAAGGAGGAGGCAGAGGAAGAGGGAAATGGAGAGGCAGAGGTAGAGTTAGGGGAAGAGGCAGAGGAAGAGGGAGAGGGAGAAGAAGTGAAAGAAAAAACGGACGAGGGGGAGGCAGAAGGAGAGATTGAAGGAGAGACAGAGGTCGTGGAAGAGGTAGGAGAAGATGCAGAGGCAGAAGCAGAGGCAGAGGCAAAGGCAGAAACAGAGTCAGAGGCAGAGACAGGGGCAGAGACAGAGGCAGAGAAAGAGGCAGAGGTAGAGGCAGAGACAGGGGCAGAGACAGAGGCAGAGAAAGAGGCAGAGGTAGAGGCAGAGACAGGGGCAGAGACAGAGGCAGAGAAAGAGGCAGAGGTAGAGGCCGAGGGGGAAGTAGACAGGGAGGGTGAAGTAGCTGAAGATAAGGGGGAGTCAGAGGAGCAGAGTGAGCCAGTGGGTACATCACAAGAGCCAGCAGCGAGCTATGTGGAGCCTGTGGCCGCCCCTGTTGCGGCCAGTGTGGAAGTACCACTGGCGCCAGTGGTGGAAGCGAGTGTGGACATGAGTGGGGAACCTGCAGCAGGTAGCGCTGATGTAGAGAGCTTGGCAGACCTGTGGAGGGAGATCAAGAAGTACGCTACCAACTAGTGGACGGCTCTTGAAGGACCTTGAGATGAGATCCTCATATCTTAGAACCTTTCTATTCTATACTAGGAGTGTAGCCAAGATGTGCAGTTGTGCAAAAGACCTTACGGAGGTTTGCTTGCATCCCCAGATTCATGCTCAGATTTCTCCAACTGATGCAGTTGGTTGCAAAAAAATACTGTGACCGTTTGAATTGACAGGCAACGCACCAAGGATGCCCCTATCAAAATTAGAGAAGTGAATGATCATAGAGTGAGAGTACACACAGATATACCTAGTAAGTGTTGTACCCTCTAAGAGGCGACCCTATACAGTCTATACAAACATGACAAATATGTTGAGTGACCCGCTGGGGTTGCCCTTGAGATCCTCGGGGAAGGGCCACAGGTGCAGAGCCTGGGGGGCTATGGGCGCACTTACCCGCTATTCAAAAAGCCCTTTTAACCCAGTGGTTAGTGACTGGGTTTCTGACATGGTATCAGAGCCAAAGGTCTTGGGTTCAACTCCCAGTGCCAGCGCTGCAGAGGCGCTCGTGTCTTCCACCTATCCCAGCGGGGGGGGGGTGTTGAGTGACCCGCTGGGGTTGCCCTTGAGATCCTCGGGGAAGGGCCACAGGTGCAGAGCCTGGGGGGCTATGGGCGCACTTACCCGCTATTCAATAAGCCCTTTTAACCCAGTGGTTAGTGGCTGGGTTTCTGACATGGTACATCAGAGCCAAAGGTCTTGGGTTCAACTCCCAGTGCCAGCGCTGCAGAGGCGCTCGTGTCTTCCACCTATCCCAGCGGGGGGGGGGGTGTTGAGTGACCCGCTGGGGTTGCCCTTGAGATCCTCGGGGAAGGGCCACAGGTGCAGAGCCTGGGGGGCTATGGGCGCACTTACCCGCTATTCAAAAAGCCCTTTTAACCCAGTGGTTAGTGACTGGGTTTCTGACAAAATACACATGTTTGACACACCCCCTAGACTGCATAGGGGAATGTCCTAAACAAGCAGCTCAGGGCGGCACTACTAGTCCAACCTCTGAGACAAGGGTCTGAGAGACCAGTCAGAAGGAGTACAGACAAGGCAAGAACAAGAGCAGGGCGGCACTACTAGTCCAGCCACTGGGAGAGGACACAAGTCCAGTCTGAGTATACCGTAATCCCCCGGATATAACACCCTATGGTGGATATAATAATTCATTAAAAAAATGACTGGGTGTTAACAGTGGGCTGGAAAAATATAACGCCCATGTGTTATGTATAATTCATTTTGAATCTGATTGTTTCTAGGCTTATACATGCATTGGGTTTCTGTTAGGGAGTTTTGTGTTTTTTGGATGAGAGGATGGCCATGCCAACGTGTCGAACTCGGCATGGGCTATAGGATTTGTGGCCAATCCGTAACGGTCACAGCTGCCAACACCCAGCGGATTGCTGCCATCGGCTGCCAGCCAGGCCTCTGGATAGGATTCGAAGTACTTTTTCTTGTAAGGGTACTCGCTTGCTGCCACTTTTTCTGTAAGGGTATTTTTTTTAGCTACTTTGTGATATAAGGGTCCTAAATATTTGTATTTTTTCACATAAGGGTATAACTCCAGCGCAGCCTTACACTTTACTGTAGTTACAGGATCTCGCATGATCAGACGACTGACGTGTTGTAGATACTGTATGATGTGACGACGTGCCTTGGGTGGCACTCGACAGGGTGCACCAAGATTTTTGGTTGTTAGTGCTGAAGTGGAGGGAATGTCGCACCTCGGTAATTTTGCTGTTAGTGCGTATTTCTACATTAGAGCGTTCAGTACCAGGGAAGCAAACTTCGCGAAGTACCAAATCAAACCGAACAGGAATTCGCGTTTTGACCCTCGGACCTCACTGTTTCGCGTTTCAGAGTCCATTTCGGGTTTGCTGGTACTGATTACTATCTTGTAGAAATACGACCTCATTCCCAAGACCCTTCCTGGTCTCGACCTGATTTCCCGTTAGTGCCCCACTCGGTTTTTTCTTTTCTTTCTTTCTTTCTTTAATTTCTTTTAACGAATGTAATGGCGGATACGACTCTACCAACACGAATTATACATTCAAGATGACAGGTTTTGTAACTGTGCGCATGAATTCTTGGGTGAGTGGCAGCCATAAAAAGCGTAAACCATTAGCAGAAGAAATTGACGACGTGATCCCAGTCGTGCGCGGGCAGGGGCCAGGTAAAAACCTGTAAATTCAAGTCGCCGATATTTCGTAGGCGCGACATTCCCTCGCCGAAATGGGTAGGGGGGAAAAGATGGTTTGACATATCACGTCCAGGGCTTTCTTTTCGTTTCAGGCTACCCTGTAATTTCAACGTAGTTTCAGGGCTTTCTTTTCGTTTCAGGACTGTCTCTCTTAGTGGGGGACTTAGCCGAATCCTCTGGGTTGCAGTAGCTTTGTCTCTGCTAGTGGGGGACTTCACCAATTTTTCGGGGTCGCTCGAGGGCTGTGGGAGGAATGCCTTTGGCAGTGGGGGACTTAGCCGAAATCTTGGGTTGCGGGGGGTATAGGAGGAATGACTCTCGGATTGGGGGGGGACTTAGCCGAAATCTACAGGTTGCCAAGGGGATCAATGATTACAGCGGGGGATCGCATGTGTGATTGTGTAAGGGTGATTTTACAGAACACTTTTCCGCATCAGGGTGCTAACGCTGCACCACTTTTCAAAATCAGGGTCCGGTACAAATTTAGTTTTTTTCATAAGGGTCCAAAACTAAACCACTTTTAAATATAAGGGTCCAACACCAACCCCAGCCTTATAGTAAGGGCCGTAAGGGTATTTTACCCTGATATCCTGAGGCCTGCTGCCAGCGCTGCGAGTTCACGGCTAGGTGCAGTAGATGCTGCCAGCGCAACACCTGCGATGGAATCTGGCATCTCAAGATGCCCTTGGGAAGCTTCTCGACCAGACCATCGCATGCTAGCATGCGATGGTCTTTTTTGGCTTTCAAGAACCGTGCGCGGCTCGGGTAGGGGGTCGGCCCACGTTTCTTGTTCATCCGTTTGTTGTCGCTGCGTCATTTTAACGTTCCAGTACTGTCTTCCCAACAGAAAATCCCTCGCGATGTCGAACCTCTCTAACAGAGCCTCGGGCATAAGTCCGCCGAGGCGATTTTGTAGGCAGAGACTCAGCCATGGCGGCCCGTGCTGTTAGCGGCATCTCAGTTTTGCGAACCCATCGTCCACCCCACGGTAGTCAATTTCTTCTCCGTCCGTTTCCGTCGATTCCTCCAGCACCACCTGCGCCGCCAGCACCGCCTGCGCCTCCCGCGCCTCCTGCACCTCCTGCCCCACCTGCTCCTCCCGCACCTCCCTATACATCATGTCCGAGTGCAAGTCGTCCCGAGGAGTGGGACAACTACTGGCAGGACGATGATGAGCTAGACTGGGAAGATGCTGCCGATGGAGAGCCAGAGCCACCCCCGACACTTCCTCGTGTCATTGTTCCATCTTTCCCTCAGCCCATTCGTCGTCCCCACATGCCGCGAGTTAACCGGGATGCTGCACCTCCCTCCCCCAGACATCGCAGGACCAGCCGCAAGAGAGTCTCGCGCACAGCGGCGGAAAAGCTATACTGGTTGGCCCATCTCGACTCCGACCCGAAGCTTTCGAATCGCAAGCTGGCGAAGATGGCCGAGGTACAACCCTGTCAGATACGCGACTGGAAGAAGAACAAGGCACGGCTGTCGGCGGCGGCGGGATGCAGGCGTCGTCTCATCGGTGCTGGACGCAAGGCGAAGTTCCCCGACATGGAGAAGGAGATGTACAACCGCTTCCTCTCACACCGTGCGCGCGGCTTGGCGGTGTCGGTGAGTTGTCTGCAGAAGTGGAGTAGGAAGTTCATGCGGAAGCGCCATCCCGGTGTCGACTGGCGTGCGTCATCCCGTTGGACCTTCCGGTTCCGCACGCGTTGGGGATTGACACGGCGCGTCAAGACAAAGATGGGCCAGCGCCTAACCAGCGGTGCGTTGTGTGCTTGATATGCAAGGTCTTTAGCAATTTCGCTTGCGGTTTCCTATTCATTGAGCTGTAAGAACTTAAGCATAAGCATGTACACTCACATCGTTTATTGTCTTCTCGTTATGCAGATTGCGAGGCTAAAGTCGAGAAATTCTGGGAGTTCGTACGCCAGATGCGCACAGTCAACAAATATGACGATGACTTGATTATCAACGCCGATCAGACGCCCTTGTTCCTCGAAATGCCCCAAGAGACTACATTAGAAGTCCGCGGTTCAAAGACGGTACATGTTCGGACTGCTGGCTACGAAAAGGAGCGGTTGACCGTGATGCTGGCGGTCACTGCTGGCGGCCAGAAGCTGAAGCCGTATGTCATCTTCAAGCGCAAGACGCTCCCCAAGATTCGAGTCCCGCCAGGTTAGTATCGATTGGGTATTGATGTCAGTAAGTGTTTCATGTACCGGAGTTAGAAACTAATTGTAAGCTTTTTGGTTCGTTCATGATTGCATGCAGGAATCGTCATCCGCGCACAGGAGAAGGGATGGATGGATGAGGACCACGTGAAGGACTGGATTACGACGGTCCTTGTCCCCTTTCTGAAGCGACTTCCTGCACGCCGTGGCGGGCGGCAGAAGGCTCTCGTTGTCCTCGACTCCTACAAAGGCCATCTGACTGAGGGGGTGGCGGCGTTGATGCGTCTATTCAAACTCTCACGTGCCGTCATACCTGGCGGCTGCAAGCCAATCGTCCAACCTCTCGACGTAGCTGTGAACCGCTGCTTGAAGGCTCATGTCCGCCGGTCCTACTCAGGTTGGTTTGAGGAGTTCGGCTGCGACGCGACAACTCCCGCAGGTGATACCCTTCATATCCTTGAGCTCTGCTCTTCATACGTTCTTGTTTACCGTTTGCTTTACGACGCCTTGACGTGTTGCTCAAGTTCTCGCTTCGGTTTGCCTAATGCGCGATGTAATCTCCACCCAACCCTGTCCGCCCTTCAGGAAATCTGAAAAAGCCTCCGGCGGAGGTGGTGCTGCAGTGGATCGCGGCCGCCTGGGAGGCAGTCCCTACCGACCTCATCCGCAAGGCTTTCAAGACCTGCGGCATCTCCAACGACCTCGATGGCCTTGAAGACGACCTCATACTCGCCCACATGCGCAACAACGCGGAGCTGGAG